TTGCCGTGTAGAAGCTGTGCCTGGTGCCTTTCGCTTCTCAAGCCTGGTCTTTTAAAGTTTATCCAGCAGGCCTGCAAACGCAACCATTGTGCATGGCGGACTCACTAAACCTGCATCAATTGTTGCAGCTCTGCCTGTCCTGGACTCAATAGGCGAGTATGGCAAAAGGCAGGTGAGTATGGCAGGAGAACAATCTCAAAAGCTATATATTTCCCCATTCACACACACACACACACACACACACACACACACACGCATACACATGCACACACACACACATACATGCACGTACACACGCACGCACACACACAAACACATGCACACACACACACACACACGCACACACCTCAGACCTCAGACACCTCAGACATGCCCATCGCGGGAGCGATGATAGCGAACAGCTATGTTAGACATAGCAACTTGTGCTGGGATAACACCATTCAACAGCTTGCAAGGCTGATGAATTGACCGCCACTATTTTTAGCCTGGTATCCACCACACAGCTGTTTGAAGTGACTTTTTCTGGCCAGTGAATCCCTATTTTTCATTTTTCCATTTTTTTTTCTTTTTTTCTACACACACACCACACCACATACTCCGGCATACACTGGCTGTTGGTAACCACCCAGGAGAATGAAAGAAAAGTCAGGAAGAGTCTGAGAAAGAGAAGAAAGACGTGTGTGACCATAATCGTCGGGAATCGAACCCGCAACCTATCGATTGGAAATCGCTGCACATACCACTGCACCATATGGGACACACACACACACACACACACACACACACACATACACACACACACACACACAAAAGCAAAGAACCCAATCCGTTCCCTCACCATCGGAGAAGAAGAAGTGAATTTCACGCTCAGCACTGGACACGCTCTCACTACCATGGAAAGAGTTGACAACGTCGTCTTGACCAAACCGGGCACGTAGCCTGAAAGGAAACGAGACATAGGGACAAGATCAGCTGGCAAGAGCATGTCCATGCATGCGTGCACGCACTCACACACATGCATACATACATACACAAAGACATCTATACACACCCACGCACCCACACATACACACACGTACATACACACATACACATACACACACACACACACACACACACACACACACACACACACACACACACACACACACACACACACACACACACATACACACACACACACACACACAAACGCACAAGGACAAACAGCCACTAAACATCGGCTTACGTTCCAGGCGCTTCGGAAACGGCAACGGACGGCTTCGCAGGGCCCATCAGCAGTCTCCAGATTTCCACTGAATTTAGTCGACCCAAGACCAGCACCTCTACAGGACCACTAGATAATGCACATGCATACAAACACACACACATGCACATGCACACACACGTGCACACACACACACACACACACACACACACACACAAACACACACACACACACACACACACAAACACACACACACAAACACATGATGAGCCAATTAAAACACGACAAGAAAGACGGAAGCGTGCCTCAGGCGCGATGTCCAAAATAAAAAGAAACAGAGAATACACTACAGTCATATGTGCCTGGATACGGCAAGTTTTGCCCTGAGAAACTCGGGTGAGGGTTACCCTTGGCGGGTACTGCCAGCAGAAACATTGGCAGAAAAGTATACAATGAAACCTGTCTAAGACAGCCGCTCAATGGACGTTCAAAACGTGGTCTGTGTTACCAGGTGGTCCCCTCATCCAGAGTCATTTGACTGGAAATAGCATCCCTAGGACCAGGTTTCAGTGGTCTTTTAGGACAGGTGGTCACTTTATCCGAGTGGTCTTCCCTGCGACACGTTTTACTGTATTGTATTGTGTTCTACAGTGCTGCACAATGAAATCCAGTCGATGCACTCAAGTAAGCGCCGCGCGTTGTGCAGCCCCAGACCTACGAACACTGCCCTGTGGAATGGTGCAAGGCACACACTTGCGTGACGCAACTGGATTTCATGGAGCAGCACAGTAGTATGTTACTTGGGCAGTCCCAACAGACCCTAAGGTCTTCTCACAGGCACCGGCTCATGTTCGCACAGAGAGGCGGGCAGAACAACTCCCCCAGGCCTGAGTGAAGGTATGACCGCAGGGGAGGGGCGGCGGTGGTGATGGCGGTGATGGTGATGGCGGTGATGGTGATGGCGGTGATGGTGGAGGAAGTTATAGTCTTACCTGCTCATGTACGCGCAGAGGCGTGGGAAGAACGACTTTCCCGAGTGCTCCTGGTAGAACTCTGCGCACTGCTCGGCAGTTAGGTGCAGTCGTCGTTGCTGAGAATTCAAACACAGCCAACGCAAATACACACACACACAGGCGCACACGCACACACACACACACACACACACACACACACACACACACACACACACACACACACACACACACACACACACAGAAAGTGGTCAGTCAACAGCTCACCAATTACAGGTAAGGCCAAAATAAAAATAAACTTGTTTAGGGTCGGCAACCCCCAAGAAACAAACTCGGTCGGCCGGGAAAAAAGGATTTTGGACAATTTTTTGGTTGCTATTATCAATAATCCTGGTGCTTACATCATATACGTGACGGACAAAAGCATAGGAAACACAAGCCAGCTAAACATAATTATACTGTCTTGTTTCAATCATGTACATATAGTACTTCAGCACTTGATGCATATGTACACAACGTACAGTATCTTTTCGTGGTTGTAGCGCTGCCTTAGCCTACAGTAGAGTTACCATAACAACCAGCGAATATCACATTATGTTTTATGGTCTGATGAGTGTTTTCCGAACACGAAACTCGGAGTAACGAGAACGGCTTTTCATCTCTGTTGTTCTGCCTAGTGTACACACACACGCACAGTACATGTAATATACACATGGTATGGATCAATGTCACAGTTGACTGTGTACTGTAAGTCGACAAATTTTCGGCCAACTCAAATTTCGCCCCCCTCCCCCCCCCCCCCCCCCCCACCTGGCTAAAACAGGCCTGTGGCGCCTGTGGTGCCTGTATACACTGTCACACTGAACCTTGCAAAACAAAATTTCGGCCAAACACGATCAGGCCGAAAGTAGCCGAAAAAATTATGCGCCGAATGTTTGTCCACCTTACAGTACTCCTTACAGCCTGGATATCCAGCTAGTCCTGGATATAGGCATGCTGCACGCATGCATGCATGCATGCAAAGGGGCGGCTTCGCCAGGTAGCTAGTAGCTTACCTACAGGCTCCCCAGGCAGCTACCGTGTACATATGCGGACCGAAACAAGTTTCAGAATTAGGAGAAAAATGGCCTCGGTCGGCTGACCTGAAACAAGGCTATTTTTTGTTTCGGCCGGAAAGCAAAGATGACAGTGATCATTATTCTCTGCTAGCCCCCCCCCCCCCCCCCCCTGTGACTCCCCGCTCTTTCAGGGGTGTCGGACACGCAACGGTCACTACGGTATTGACTGTAGCACTTTTTGCCCCAAGTAATACACTGATCTGGGCTCTAAATTTCCAAAATGTTTGGCTCAGCAACCCCTCCCCCACGAGTAAATTGTACTTCAGATGGTTGACCGTACCACACTAAAATACCTTCTGACGCCACTGTGCACAGCCTGCTGTGGCTTTGATCTACGCAAAACTGAACTTGTAGTTCCTTGGTCATATTCTTTCCCGTAAATTTATCCTCAGGAGTGAGCCCAGCTTTCGGGATGTCCTCCAGCGCTCGTCAATTCTGTCTACAGATCGACCCAGCTCTGTCCACTCAGTTTTGGTGTTGTTGACTCTCAGGGCCCACTGCCCGAGAGTGTGGTCTATGACCGGTTTGAGCTCTGTGAGCCATTGACGACTAAGGCTTATGAAATCGGTGTCATCTGCGTAGACAAGCTCAAATGGAATGTTGATGACAGAATTGACGAGCGCTGGAGGACATCCCGAAAGCTGGGCTCACTCCTGGGCGACATTGAGGATGTGACACGTCGCAGGCAATTGGCCGAGGCTGCATTCCGATCCATGTGGTCTCTTTGGAAGCGCCGAGGACTGATCCGAGAGCCTCTGCGTATGAGGTTGTACTGCGCCTTTATCATGCCGATACTTCTCTATAATTCAGGCACCTGGGGCCTGACGGTTGCTAGCGAACGCTCCCTGGACGCTTTCCATAGAAGGCAGCTCAGGTCACTTCTCGGCATCACATGGCCACAGAAGATTAGTAATTTGGCGTTGTATGCCCGATGTGGAGTGGAGCCAGTGTCGGACTTGATCTGAAATTCACGCTGGAGTCTATTCGGGCATGTGCTTCGCCTGGGTAAGGACATGCCAGCACGATTGAGCATGGAGCAATACTTTCAGGCACCCGAGGGGAGGTACCGTGGGAGGCCGAGGGTGACACTACCAATAAAGCTCCACACCGATCTGTCCCAGTCGAACAATGGGCACCGCGGAGTGTTGAGGACTTGCGCCGTCTGGAGCGGATTGCTGTGGACCGTCCAGCATGGAATGCGCTGGTGAAGAGTGTTTGTGCACACCCTCGTCACGAGTAGAAACAGCCATGGCACCCTTATAAACTCATAACAACCATTCTATAATAATATTACTATTTGAATCTTTTAATAATTATCTGGCAACTCAACCTCATACGTATAATTATCTGGCCACCCATTGACCATGATGCTACATGAGGAAACAATAGTAATGACATTTTTCCAATGAGACCAATTTTACGACGCTCCGTGTTACTGAAGGACTAACTTCGATCATTGGTTTTGTAGAGCCCCATTCTCTAGGAGCTGTCTACATCTGCTTTGTTTCAATGTCCAGCATAAGCGAACGTGTGGATCAAGCATAACTGCTTGGTTGACGCTGCCGCGGGAATGCGTATAATAATAATAAATAATTATTTATCCTCAGCTCTCATCTGAATCAACATTGGATGGACATGCAGCATCTAAAATTCTCACCCGAAGAATACGAAAACCGTTTTGGCAGATCAACTCCCTCATGTTGCTGGTCATCGTGATAACGTCGGGCTTCAGGATAGCCAGTGTCTTTTCTATGCCCGGGCCCTCCATTCTTCCTCCTCAATCTGCCGACTGCTCAGCACGGCTCTGAACGTTACGTGTATTGCTTAGAGGAGGCGAGCTCCGCTTACTGGACACCGGTCAATTCGTCCTTGCACCGCTGAAGATCGGCTTCGACTATTCCGCTATGGATTTAGTTTCTGGAAAAGCAGGCCTCTCTCTCTGTGGTATCCAAACGTTCGCCGACACCCTGATCTCCGACTCAGCCTCAGGGGTACGTAGATGGTAGTACTCGTTCACCGAATGTGTTCAGCTGTTCGCTCGCGCTGGGGACTGTGACAACGGAACCCACTGCCACTGGCTATCTCATGAGCTCACAGTTTAGCCGGCTTGTTCGCACATCTACCCATGAATGAAGGGACCCGCGTACCGGTGCTCATCTGCCTGGCCAGACCAAATAATTGTGTAGACAAGTAAAAAAAAGGATAGCTCTTCCTCCCTCGAAAATTGATTCGGAGTTCTGTCCGCTTCTGCCTCTACTCCACTCCAGTACTTCAGTGGTTGATTCAAACGCCTGTCGCTCAGCGCCAGCCGTCGCCGTCATCATGGTCATCACAGCGCTGTATTCCCGGTGCATGGACCATTCGTGATGCCCTAGCCCCTGCTTGCGTCGTTGCGATTCGCGACGTAACGTTGCGTGTTCTTGTGAATCTTGACGTCGTCAGGATAGGAGTCCACCAGGCTGCAGCCTGCAGGCCAGGTACTACTAGTACTACTAGTACTAGGTAGACATGATTGTATTTTTGTACCATTGGCATTGATGCATCGCACGCGTTGGCGCGTCGCGTTCCCAAGGATGTTGTCAAGGAAACGGCGACTACACGGACACTGCATGAGCATGAGCAGCATACAGTAGCGAAAATAATTCTGCTCCGGCCTCTGCTCTGTCCACGGTTTTGGATCCAGCTAGCCTGCTGCTGCCGTGCTGGGCTGCCGCTCCTACTCCTACAATTAATTTAATTCAATGGAGTACTACTTAGGATCCTATCAATCCGACCTCTTCGGCGCGACCCAACTGGGGTTAACCTGACGCTGGGGCTGGGCCCGGCAGCCTGGGCTAACATTGGGCAATGATTGTCCGTTTGATTTGCAATGTGCTTGAATTTCTATCAAAGGAGATCAGAAAACTGCATGGTCTGGGATGGTCCTAGGCCGGGAAGCTTTTATTCTTTGTTGCAGAGGACCATTCGGGAAATCATCATCAGGGCACCTTTTTGATAATCTTCCCTTTTCTTTTGTTCAGAGCTTGATTGAGATCAGAGAGTCACGAGTACTGCTCTTCTCTGGTTGAAACCAACAGTGTTGGCAACACACCTCTCTCATCTTTAGGTTTTGCTACTCTGACAATAGAATACGGTTTTGAAAGCAACACAAAGGACATAATATGCATCTGGTTTACAGAAAATATGAGGTTGTAGGCTATCTGTTATATGGGTAATATTCTATATCCTACGGCGGTACATGAAGTTTGCAGGCAGTAGAGAGAGAGAGAGAGAACACAGAGAGAGAGAGAGAGAGAGAGAGAGAGAGAGAGAACAGAGAGGCAGAGCATGTATAATGAGAGAGGAGACGACAGAACAGGAGAAAGGAAAGGGTGCGACTAGACCGCACACTCCAGACAGTGTGCAACCCAGAAAATACAATGCTCAATTCAACAAGGCAATTTGATAGGCTGCAGTGCGATTATGTTCATGGTATTGGGATCAACTTTCGAGTTTCAGCAAAAGTCAAATCATAGGTCACAAATTATTTTAGTCTTCTAGCATGTCCTAAGTTGGGCAGTGGTGCACTGGACGTTATACTCTCCACAGGGACAGGCTTATTGGCATATGTTGCTGTACTGAAAAAAGGCTTCTGGTCCACGTACTGTAACGGACGCATTGCAATGCACTGCTTTATCTGTTACTTGATCAGGAATGTCGTATCCGCTGATGCTTGTTATTGAGACGGGAAAAGAAGGTTGATAGCCGGCCGGAATACAGCCTTCTGGCCCACATGCTGTAACAAACACTTGCATGCACTGCTTTACTTGACTGGTTGTCACGTCCGCTAATGCTCGTTATCGGGACGGTAAAGGAAGCGTGATGGCTGGCCGGAATACAGCCTGCTGGCCCACATGCTGTAACAAACACTTTCATGCACTGCTTTACTTGACTGATTGTCACGTCCGCTAATGCTCGTTATCGGGACGGTAAAGGAAGCGTGATGGCTGGCCGGAATACAGCCTGCTGGCCCGCATGCTGTACAAGGGACACACTGGCATGCACTGCTGCTGTGCTTGATCAGGGAACTAAGCCACGTCTGCACCGACGCTCGCGGTCAAGACGGGACGGGAAGCGTGATGGCTTGTCGGAATGCAGCCCGATCAACGATCACCACGGCACGCTCGGCATGAGGTCATTCTCCGGCACGGCTTGCTCCTAACACTGGCTAATAGACGCATCTTGCTCCCAACACTGGCTAATGCACAGTTACAAATGTAAGAATTCATCAGCATACTCGTGATACGTCTTCAAACAGCACAAGTGGGCAACTCTAGACAGCAGTGATCAGGCTTCAAACAGAGCTCCGGGTGTTCGAGTCAAGACGTCACAGTAATTGCCGCACACACATCCATAGTCCACAATCATACTCCTGGTATACAGTAGAGCCCTTTTACCCCTAAAAGAAAAAAACTCTAAACAGGATTCCGGGTGTTTAAGTCAGGACTTCACGACTGCCGAACGGGCCACCGCAGTGCGTTCACAATCATTCACAATCGGACTGCTGTTGTATCAGCCTTGTAGCCCTCCACGGCAAGCTCGTTACCGCGTTGACGACCGGCTTGCACGCGGCCACGATCATCCCTCAGCGGTGCCCCACAGCCAGGCCGTCCAAACATGCTGTCTAGTGTTGCCATGTGCTGATGGAGGGGGGGGGGGAGAGAGTGAGTGAGAGAGAAACAGAGAGAGAGAGAGAGAGAGAGACAGAGAGAGAGAGAGAGAGAGAGAGACAGAGAGAGACAGACAGAGAGAGAGAGAGAGAGAGAGAGAGAGAGGGGGGGGGGGGGGGAGGGAGAGAGACACACAAACGCACAAATGCAAACACACACACACACACGAAGTACAGAAGACAAGATCAGTTTAGTTTGTCCTGCTTGCGTCAACACGAGCTGTACGTTCTATTTCCGCACTTCAGTAACTCCACTTTCCCTGTGAGGTGTGTACTGTTCTACACATGCATCACAGACTACTCACTGCATACCACACACTACTCACTGCATACTATTCACTATTCACTGCACATTATTCACTGCACACTACACACAACACACTACGCATTTCTCTGTTTGCGGCATCCATACAGCATAGATAGCCACACGGGGTTTCAACCGATACGCAGGTCAACAGGGGGTCGAACACTGATCACACCGGAGTTCAAAACCCAGGAGTTCAAACCCGAGAGTTCAAACCCGGGAGTTCTAACACGGGATTTCGAACCAGGGAGTTCGAGCCCGGGAGTTCAAACCCGGGAGTTCAAACCCCCAAGCACTTGCCTCGAAAACACACCAGACATAACACTCCACCACCCACAAGGAGCTCACGGTATGCAAAGCGTGACCTGCATTCAGGCAACTACATCATTAAACGTGTTAATAGTATGTCGCTCATATGTACAAAAGGGCGCGCCATCGACTGCTAGTGTTGCGACATTAAATACTTGTATAATTCAACAACAACAACCACTACAGAATACACCAACAAGGCTGTTTTATTATTTATTTTTTATTTATATTTACTAAGAACACAACCCTATAGTATTGAGAGACATGTGGAGACGTACACAAAACAAGACACAGTGGATGTAGGTACGACTGTACGTATTTAGTAGAAGTACACGCTCACCTTGGCTGTTTCTTCTTTCTCACGTGCGCGCGCTTCGTCCTTGATGCGCTGCCGTTGCTCCGCCTGCTCCGACAAGTGATCATGCAGTTCCTGCTTCTCCATCTCGGTGCGACGCCGCGGGGAAATCGGTGCTTCCTGAAGCCGCCGCCGACGACGACAACAACAGACACAGAACAAGCGGAAAAAATAGAGCAATTCAGTATTGACCCTGTGCTGCTACTGCTGTTGCTGCTTCTACACATGTGCAACAATGCGTACAAAGCTACAGAGCAGATACTTAGTATCATCACCAACAAACAATCACAAAGCCACAAACATCCACAACTCTCCATCATCATGTCTGTACATGTATCATCTTGAACTCTCCAGGGGTGGAGGGATGTGGCCTCATCTGTATCACCACTCCTTCCCCAGGAATCAGTCCCCCGTTGCTTCCCTCACCCTTTGAACGAGAACAGAAGGTCCACGCTATCAGGTTTCCACTCATCCATCCAAGAACACTATACTATAGGGTACGCCGTAAGAAGGACTTAGGCCTGTGGGAATTCCCGATTCAAAATTCAATATTCACAAGTTGAGGGAATGGAAAGAGGAAAGTCTGAAGAAATAATTCACTGTCACCACCAGGAATCAAGCCTGGGACCGTTGCTTGAGGCCAGCGATGCTCTAACCACTGAGCTACGGTGGAGCTGTCATCCCAGCAGAGACCGTTCAACATTTAAAATTTGATAAATAAAAATAACCCCAAGCCGTGTTGCTGCTTACCGATCCGCTGGCAAAGAGATCCTGCACTCTCTTCCTGTCACCGGCGATGACTTTATCCGTGAGCGGGTCGCGCTGCGCCCGTCCTACCTGCATACCCGACAGCCAGTCGGCCGTGGTGTTGTTCGGCGTGCCGTCGCTGTTGATGCTGGGCGGGGGTGGGTCCACTGGACGGGTGCGTCGGTTCTGCAGACGGTCGGCACGGCTACGTTCAGCGGCATCGCCTGGGGAGCAACACACCATGCAAGCACACAAAGTCAACTCCTGAGTACAACGTAACA